CCATTTTAAAGTTGATTGACTTTGCCCCCAAATGGTGTATTGCATTATTATTTTACTTTATTAAAGACTTGTTTTCCATAGAGCATTTTTGACTATACACACTAACACAGTACATTGACGGATTTTCAAGTATAGGGCATAGCACAGATCAAGAAAGAACATTTATTTCTACAGGTGTTTTAAAGGAGATTAGACTACAGAGAACATACAGACTGCTCCTACTACCTCTGATGAGTGAAGTGTTCAAAAGCAACAGGTCCAAACAGGAGACAAAGAAGATAAAGAGGGACAAACAGGAGTCTTCTGTTTCTTAAGGCTGTATTTTCTGAATCCAACCAGACATCTAACATTCTTCTCCCTTAGTTTATCCTATGCTTTTGCTTAAATTGAGTTGTGTGAATTTTCCTCAGACAGCTAGAGTTTTTAATTGAGTGGAGAGAAGCAAACACACCAGAGCCAACCTTCTCTTCCTCTGCCGAAGTATCAGTGCATCAGTGCAGTAGACACCTCAGTTAAGCCTGAACTACCATCTTGCTGGATTTGCACAATATTTTTTAGCAATTCTATTGTGTTGCTGACTCATTCAGTTTGTGACTAGTAATAACTAACAATCCCTTCTGGTATCAAAGCTACTCTTAAGTAGCTTGAAATACTGTTTTCCATTGCATTTAAAACATTTCTTTTTCCAGTCCCTCACTAATTTGGCACCAAAAATTAATCTAAAAATTATTAACCATCATTTTCTACCATCCCTCACAGCTATACAACTTTTTAAACAATATTTTTATCTACTGTTTCCCTATGGAAATAGCCCTCTGACCATTAAACATGTAAACTTATAGAGGGAAAGAAAAGCCAAAAAATCCAAAATCAAACCACAAACAAAGTGAAGGTAAAATTTGATGCCTTTGCCCATTCATACCTGACTTGCCAACCACTGAATATAAACTTATTCTGCTGTAACTTGCTCACCTTGGGTTTGGTGAAGAAAGGAAGGGGAGAGGGAGGGAGAAACAGCTGTTTGCAAAGAAATGACAATCAAAACCCAGATCTTGTTTTGCCTGATGCATGTTTCCTTTTCCTAGACAGGATCAAAACATTTATTTCGCTGTTATTTTGATAGCTATCATCATGGTGGGACAGAATCCTTAAAATCAGCTCTGCTATTGTTTCTAGACAGTCCAAATCTTCATCTTTTCTGGATCTGTCATTATTGTAAAATGAGACACTCATGACTCCTCCATAGTTTTCCTCAGCACAGATGTTGACAAAAGGACTGTTTTCTTTGTTTTTCAATATGATTACATCACAACCCAGGTTTCCCAATCTCCGGCTATAATGTCTAAAATTTGTAATAAAAAACTGTCCTTACACAGAAGCTTCACTTAGGAAGAGCTATAATGCTTGCCTCCAAAAACCCCATTCACAGAATAGAGGCAAACACAGTCTGGCTTTCATTCTTTTGAAAGCATTTGGCTACCATCAATCTGTATGTTACAGATTCAGTTTAACAAAGACGTTTCAAATGCCTCTGCTTCAGCTAAGTATTTGTCCTGTCAACCACAACACAAATGAAAAAGTAGAGTGTGTTTATATTTAAAAAGCACTGCTTAGGGGGAAATACAATCTGGTTCAAATCTGTTACTGGATAAATAGTAAGTTAGGCTTTACTCATGGAATCAACACAGCTTGGTTGATTCCCAAGTGGTCAGAAGTTACCTGTATAAAAATCTAAGTCCCCAGTATGACTATATCACGTTTGTAAAATATCTGTTCATAACTGCCCTCATTCTCTGAATTCACCCACTAAATGCAGCCTTTCACAATGTATTATTCTTGCCACTTTGTTTCAAGAAGGATAGAGGCTGCAGGAAAAGCTGAATCCTTTGCTCATGTGGCTTAAGGTTTCTTCTCCCATTTTTAAAGACAAGACATGCGCCAAAGCCCCCAAAAGGTGGTCTGACAGAGTAGGCCAGTTAACTTACACACCCTTAATACTGCCTGTTTAAATTTAAGCACCCAAATAAAGCTATTAGGTAGGACAATATGCATTCAGTATCTTATAGGACCGTATGCCAGGGGAGGAATGTGGAATAAGAACCAAACAGGTGCAAAAACAACCAAAGAGAGAAGATGATCACATTCCTAACAGAATCGCATCGTCAAATCAATACTGGTGTACGATCACCGGGCTATTTCGTGTTGGCCGCTGGTTTATACCGAAGTGCGAAAGAACAGTTTAGCAATATACACAGCACGTTTCCTCAGACGGATTCCCAGAACCTATTGGCGAGTCCCCCTTCCCAATATCGAGCGCCGATATCCTCTCCTACAAGCTTCTTCAGCACGCCACGACCGTGCCTTCGCGCGAACCCGGGACGGCGTGCAGGACGCTGCCGGGGCAGAGCGGCCCGCGCGGCCCTGGCGCCGCCCGAGGCAGTGCGGTGCTCGGCGCCCGAGCTGCAGCAGCGCGGGCCCGCCCGGCCCCTCACGCAGCCGCTGCCGCCGGGCGCGCGCGAGGACTGCGGGCAGCGGGGCCCGGCCGCGCCCCCGATCCCGCCCGGCCCGGCTGAGAGGGGTCCCCGCCCGCCGCCAAGATGGCCGAGCGCCAGCACCACAATGCAGCCACCTTGCCGGGCGGTGGGAGGCTGCGGTGCGGTAACCAGCCGCTGAGGTGGGGGACTCTCCCCAGAACGACCGCGCTGGGCCGCGCTGCGGCCCGGAGCAACAGGGCGCGGCGATCCCAGGGCCGGGGAGCAGAACCTTCCGGTGGCGCGGACCGAGCCCGCGGACTCCGGCCGAGCCCAGGGACCCTCATCGCCCACCCGGCGTGGAGGGCAAGATGGAGCCTCCCCAGCGCACCCGCGGGGCGCAGCGGCCCGCGGAGCCTGGAGCAGAAGCTGCCGCTCTCCTGACCACGCCGCACCCGCTGTTCCGTCGATACCTGCACAAGTGCGGATGACTTCGTGTCGGTAAGACTCGTCAGCTCAGTGCGGGATCGAGATGCTGCGGGGTGGACGCTGCGGCGGCGGGTGCCGGGCTGCGCACGGCCGATACTCCGCGCTCTCCTCACTATCTCCCTCTAGCTCCCACTCCTATTTAAGCAGTCGCCACCTCCAGCGGCCACGCCACATGGGCTGACAGTTTACGCCTCGCCGCAGTCCAATGAGAGCCGGGGCAGGGCCGCCCCGGTCAGACCCGGGGTGATGCCAACCTCTGCCCGCCGGAGCCGCTCCACGGGAGGAGGGGGCCCTGGCCAGGCCGGGGCGGACACAGGCGGGCCTCCTTGCCCGCGGCACCGGGCCAAGCTCTCAGCGCCCCGCCCCGTACTGGAGGCCGTGGAGGGCTAGGCGCTGCCTGGCTTTGGCCTGGCCCGGCCGGGGACGGGGCAGCGCCGACCCCCCGTGGGCGCGGACCTTGTCGTGTCCCTCTCCCACCTCCCCGCGGGTAGGTACACTGTGGGGCGTACGACCGCGCAGTGCCGGCACCGTGGCTCGGCGATTGAGGCGAGGGCTCGGCGGGCGCCGGTCCAAGCGCGGTCGGGTCGCGCAGCGCCCGCGCGCACCCGTGGCGCACAAAGGGAAAGGACGCGGGGCCGGACGCGCAATCCCGGGACGGCACCCAATGCGAAGGCGGGGGCCCGTGGGCGGGGGCGCGGCCCTGCCAATCGCGGCGCCCGCGCGGTGTTGCTAAGCAATAAGGCGATGTGGTGACGGCTGGGGGGCGGCTGGGGCCGCCGGCAGAGCGAGCAGCGCCCGTCGCTCTCCGGCGGCGGCGGTCGTTCACCCCGGCGGAGCGCGGTCCCGGGGTTACCACAGGGCAGCAGGCACGCCGGCCAGGGATGCGCTGCCCCGTGCCCGGGCCCGTCGCGCCGCCCTGACTGGCGGCAGGAGAGCGAGTCCGGAGGCGGGGGGCGGGCGTCAGAGGTTCCCTCCCCGCCGTGCCCCTGCTACGCCCCCCTTCCCACCGGAACGGGGCGGATCGCTGTGCGTGTGGGCACCTCTCATCCACTTTTCCTGTAACTTGCACTCCTTTAGTTAAACCCGAACAGTAGCGAATCTGAATTTCCTTCTGTATTGCCTACGACTGCCACTCCGAAACAAAAAAGCCTTTCGGTCGGCAAATGCGGGCTTGAACACGGGGATGCAAGAAAGTCCCCCGCCTTGTCTCTCCTTCCTGGCTCTGAGCTGGCTGTGGGCAGAGGCCCCGCTCCCGGGTGGCGCTGGCACTGCCGCTTTGCAATGCAGCTCCACTTAGACCTTCTCGGGGCAGACCTTTTGCCTTTATCTATGTAGTCCTCAACATAACAGGTTTTTAACCCTTTGATAAGGACAACAATAAATAATGTCCTCTTTTACCTTTTCAGTACTCTGTGACCTGCCTGAATTATCTTCTTTGTAGGAATTTCTTTCTTTGTACAATTCAATAGTATCCACAGTAGTACCTTGCTGCCACTCTTCTAATCTGCTTTTTAGAAATCAGTGCCCAGTTTGTTAAATATTTTGGTCATAAGAGAAATACATGAGGATTTTCCTGCTGTATTTAGTACGCCCTTAACACAACTGACCCACGCAATATTATTTATTTATTGCAAATATTATTGTCCATATTATTATCATGCAAATTTTCTTAATTTTCATACTTACATGCTATGTACTCAGAAGTACTCTAAAACAAATGTACAATAACTGAACTACTTTTTTTCCTGCCACAAGTAAAATAAAATTAAACAACCCAGATATCATCTTTTCTTACCTGCAGTTGACTTAAGTAAACCTGTTTCTCAGGGAAACTGAATAAATTAAAGCTGCGTTACTGGCAAGAGGTCTGCATGAACAGGCACGCCAGTTGACATGGGAGGGGGAGTAAGTGGGACACCACACCAAAAAACCACAAAAAACCCCCAAAAAACCCAAACCAAAACAGAAAAAAAACCACCAAACCCCCCCCCCCCCCCAAAAAAAAAAACAAAACAAACCACAAAGCAGAAAGCCCTCAAACAAGAAAACAAAAAAAAAGCCATAGAAACCTGCATACAAACCTACACAAAGGCATTTCTGAAGTCTGCAGCCCATCAGCTTACACCCACGGTGTAAGGAATAAAGAGAAATGTTTTCCACGTTCAAATGCAGTATTACAAATATCATGGAACAAACTGCTCTTTTATGCTGCTTTTAACACATGCACAGAATCTCATACCCCCGAACTACTGTGAATCTCCATAGGTCAATATTAAACATATAAATAACAAAAAATTTTTCACCATGATCTACAGCTATTATAAAATCTGGAATTTACACACAGAGTTCTAGAAGTAACCAGTGAGTGCTTTAACTGGTGTGATCTGGGCCAAAATTCCTGTAGTTGTTAGAAACCACTATGCTTTGTGCTACAGAAAGAACTCATTCAGGGCCTGGTTCAAGGGAGTGCATCATGTTGTCCTGGCTCATGAACAATGTTGAATCAAATGACAGGATTTTCAAGTAATGAAAATGTTTAGAAAGAAGCTCACAAGGTCTCTCAGGCCTTATATTGGCTTAGCAACATCTCATGAAATTTCTTGCAGATTTAGCATCTGATTATAATATCATTGCACATTTACACTACAGCAAAATATTTTCAGCAGGTAGTACAAAATAATTACTCAAATTCTCAAATGGATTACTACCACTCTGTCAGGTGCTGAAGAGAACACGTCTTTGCAAAGAGTATCAGGCAAGCATTTCTATTAAAAAAACGCTCCACAAAAAAAAGACACTCATGCGTAAGTAGCTCTCTTCCTTCGTTTAATCTTTAGATTTTATATATTTAGCAGCAACTGGTAAGTATTATTCACTTCAGTGATACCACTTTCAGAATCACAGAATCTCTTAGACTAGAAGGTATCTCTTGACATCACTTAGTCCAAGCCCTCAGCTCCAGGGTCAGCTGGAACAGTCTGGCCAGGCCCATGTCCAGTTGGGTTTTGAGTATCTCCATAGACAGAGACTCCATAACTCCTCCGGGCAATCTGTTCCAGTGCTTGACCATCCCCACAATTAAAAGTTTTTTATTGACTTTTTCATGTGCATTTCCTTTACTTATAGGAAAGTTCATCTCTGTAATATCCCAGGACAGGTCAGCATTATTGGAAATGCTACAAAAATACACTGATTACTTTTATTAGTGTCCTGGCACGATCATTACTACATAGCTATCCTTTCTTACATCACAACTCGTTCAAGTTTTCTTTTAGTTTCATCTGTTTTAAGACTTACTTCTTCCAACATGTCTCTATTATTATAAATACATGGTTCTAACATTGTAGCAGTGTTTCTCACTGCTTTGAAGTCCATACAATCTCTTGTCAAGGGAAAATACAATCACTGGTGTGACAATAGAAATTTAATTTTATATTCTTTCATGCTCTCTGAACAAGTGGAAAGAGCTACAGAAGATGAGAAATAAGACAGACTCAGATGCAATCTTTTTAAACCCCTTTCTATCAAGTAGAAAGATAGCTGCACAGGATTAACGGTTGCATTGTTATTTAGAAGACAAGTAGGTTGAGGCATCCCACTTCTAAGCTTAAATCACATCTACAGTTTCTCAACAAAACATCTGCTAGAGTCCTGCAAGTCCTGCCTGAAGGCACAAGGCTTTGCCTATGTTTTAACTGAGCATTTCTAAATCCATGACGCAAGAAAATCTTAACATATATAATTAAAATAAATCAGTATTAACAGTGAAGACTGTAACCTCATAATGTGCACAGATTAACCCTTTATTTTAGGCTTCACTATATGAAACAGGGTATTTGTTCTCTCTTCTGGCTGCAGATATCTCAACCTGACATACAAAACTGAGGCTGATAATGAGACCTGATATAGATTTGTTAAAGTATGTTAATAGCAAGTGTCAACCTACAACATGCTGACAACATAGAAATCAGTCTTTAATATTATAATTGCGGATTTTTGCCATGCTAGAAGAGATTTTTGGTTTTAATAGATGAGCACAAGATAAACTCCTGGATTTTAACTTATGCTGAACTTCCAGCCTTGTTCCTCTGACTGTCAGATCTTCAGCTGATGTTTCAAGTTTATCCTTGGTTTTGACATTTTGCCGAGATTCTTCAGATTGCTTGATTGGATGTACAACTTCAAACTCCCCTGCTCAAAAAACAGACAGAAAATTACTTTGTAGTTTTGTTTGTATTCAGTTATGAGATTGGATAGTTGAAGAGAGCTGGTTTACTCTTTTCCTCTAAATATACTGCTGCCATAGTGCCACATTGTCAAAATCTTATATTACCAGGACCATTTCTGTACATAGGAACCCAGCACAGTCCATTAAGGCTTGCCATACTGATGGTATAACACAGTATCTTCTGCTCAATCCTCACTTCATCTGTACATGTTCCTTCTCCATTAGCATCAGACTGCTTAAGAGAGGAAGACAGCTGGAAGGTCAGTGCAACAGCTCAAATCAAGCACTACCTATCTGTTCAGCTGTTTTAAAACATCATATTTTAAAAGTTTACCCTTCTCTCCATTTTGAGAAAATGTGTTTGGATATGCATGATATAAAAGACTCAGAGGTAACGCTGTTGGCTTGACAAAGCTGCATTATTACCATTATCTTTTGGGTGTTTTTTCAATCTTCTTTCACTTAGGAAAGCATTTAGTATGTACATCTTTGGTTTTGTTTTCTAAAATATCTGTCTTTACAGTAAGGACTAGCTCAAAAAGAAACATCTTTGTTTAGGAAGCAGTGGGACTGGTCCTAATACCAGTCAGAGTCCATCCTGCAGTTCTCACGTAATTCTCCAAAAACTATTATCTCCAACTAACTGAACTTCAGTCTTATCACAGGTTTCTTCAGGTAAGATAAGTGGAACTGTTCAATTGCATTATTCACTGTAAACTATAGGCAATATTTACAGGTGTTTGATTCCAGCCACTTAACCCTTATTTTTCAAGGCACTTAGACTTTAACTTCAGATTTTCTGTGGAGAGCCAAAGCGGACAGAAGTAGTCATAATAAACCTGTGATGACACACACTACAGTAATCTGTGCTAGTATAATTTTATAAGCATCATGGTCTGCAGTTCCAGATACTACTCAATCACAGCAAGAATAAAAGGTGCACAAAATGACAAAGATCAGTTACTAGTAGGAGAAGGTAAATTTTCAAAGTCCATTGAACATGGTAGAAAGTCTAAACAAAATTCTACATCAAAGGAATTACAACATATTCCTGATCTATGGGATGAATTGATCAATTGAAGGTTTACAGCTCTATGCAAAGCATGACACTGTGGCTAATGTCAAAACATGACACTTTTCAAAATAATTTTTATACACTGGCTTAGCTTGAACCAGCTGTTCACTCATGTGTGTGATCTCTGCACTGCATCAGCTTGGTGACAAAAGCTCAGTGGACTCTTGAGCTGTGGATGTGAAATCCTGTTGTCCAGCTTGCCACCTAGTGGTTTCCTACAGATGAAGAAGGTATGGAAGAGGATGCTTGAGCCCATGAAGATCGTTGGGTGTATTTTCCTGCATGGGAAATGGACTTTAATCATTAGAATACCTCTCCCACATCTGGCAAATAAGAAAGCAGAATTTCACAACATCAACCATTTAGAAAAGTGCAGGCAGCAGTGTCTGAAAGGTATTGCTTCAAAGATTACTGTCTTGAACAGGAACAGCAGCAGAATAATACTACTTCTTGTTTGTGGTCTGAATAACTGGAATGAGGAGATGCAGTGCTCCATAGCACACAGTTAACACTGCTTACAGACAGTCTGTTTTTTAAAATACTCACTCAGTTTTCAAGGGCCTTTTGTATTCACCCAGGGGGATGACTTTCAGAAATTAATGTGGCAGGCCCTAATTGTGTAATTCCAAAGGCAAAGTAACCAAGCACCAATTTATGACATGCATCCACCCCTTCCTGTGAAGACTTCTGTATGCTTGTCTCCTGTCATTAGCAGAGAAACTATAGTTTTAACTAGTAAAGGCTACTTAGTTAGGTATTTGGAACAACAGCACAGAACACAAGCATTCTACATGGCTATTTTTAAGTTTTGGACTGTCAAAAATGTGTACTAACACAGAAATTTAAAATCAACCACTGCAAACTTGTAAGGTTAGTTCCAAAAATTAGGAAAATATAAAGAATCAATACCCCAGAATTAGAAATACTTTTAAAATGCCGTAGCTTAGTTTGCACACCAATGAAAAAACACACCTAATTTACAATCCTTCAACTTACTTTCAGAAGTGACCACAGCTAGCGAGATCATAGCTAAGCACCTAAACTGCTTTTGAAAATGGAACTAAATGTTTAGTATATTGAAATGTTTAACATATCTTCCATTTGATGTGTGCTAACTTCAGTCAGAAATGAATGAACATTCATAGATTTTTTTTTTCCTCAGGATAAAAGAGATATATGCAGACATGTTGTATAGGCAAACTGAAATTTCCTCAGATGGGAGTTTCATTTAAGAAATTTTTCACTAGATATTTGCTTATGGCTAACAGTACTCCTGAAGGAACACCAACTCAAACAAGTTCCTATTCAGGAGAAGAACATAGAAAGGAAGAAAATGTAGCTAGGGCATTAGTTAATATTTGTGAAACACTTCAAAGATGAAGTTTTACGTAACACAGAAAAGAGATCATGAGTTTTTCTCTGATTGGACCTGGAATGAAGCCAGAGGCAGAGCACTGTTTCTGTTTGTTAATATTTTACCAGATTCTTTCTCTGGCCAGCTTTTTACCCACATGGATTGCTCTTAGAACTGTCAGTGATGTCAAAGCTGTTGAAATTCTGTCTAGTGTGGAAACACTTAAGATAACTTTTGATCCATGAAGTGTGGAATTTCAGACGACAGAGCTTTGCAAGCTACAGTGAGAATTACAGTACAAGAAACTCCCCTATCTAAGCTCAAGTAGTAAATAAAAAAAGTTACTTTACCTCAAAGCAGCTCACTCCTGTTCTTTGTTAGGCTAAAATGTAAATCCAAATTATTAAACTGAGGACAGGGTTCTGAATACTTGTGGTGGTGGGGTTTCTCAAAAATGTATTGTGGGATGTGAAAATACAATGATTCATCTACACTAAATATGTATAAGTCAAATGACTAGTGGGGACCCAGCTTGCCTTACACCCTTACTCCCCCTGCAGTGCCCCCAGCCTCTGCTAACCCAAGGTAGCTGACTGGAGCTGATAAGGAGCATTTCACACAGTACCACACAGAACCCTTCACAGCACTGGCTTCATGCTAAATGCAGTATTACAGCTGAACTTCAATAGGTGATGTTTGCTTTTTTCCCCTCTGAACAAACTAGTAAGTATCTTCAATAGCAAACAGCAAGTTTATCAAAATAAATAGAAGAAAATAAATTTCCATTTTCTAAATGTTTTACAAATCTTCCCCTCCTCCTGCCTAACATTCACTCTAAAATCAAAAAAGGCTCTACTTTCCTTTGAGGGTGGCTTTTAATGAGCATTCAAGGTGCATATGTTGTGGATCACCAATCAAAATCTCCATCTGCTCTCAACCTCAGGGACAGAGCATTTAAAAAAAATAAAGAAATACAAAGGTGTATTTCTTATTTGTACAGCCTGTGCATCCTATGTAGCCTTTTAATATCATCAGGGCTTGTACCTGTATATCTCTAAGAGGTTCTTTTTCTTTCAATAATACAGAACCATAAAAAGACCTGAAGAAGGGACCTATGATCCTTCTAAACATCTTCCTTCTACTTATCTGCAGAATTAACATGCAAGCTATGAAATCCATCTAATTTCTACAGTAAACTGAAAATTAGCAGGTAGAGTAAGGAGAGAGAAAATTAAAATAGCCTTTTGACTTGCTTGGAAGCTTACACAAGGTCTGAATTTGATGGTGAAATGAATAAAGTATATAACAGTCCACTTCAGTAATTAAGATGTAGTCATTAACTCTTCAAAACACATTTAGTCATTGCATTGTGTAATATATTGGAAATACAGCAAATTGCAGGGCTTACTTGACATGCCAACCATTTTGAGTGCCAGTAGGCTGTTTCTTACATGTAACATGAAAAAAATGAAACTGTTCAACAGGTTCAGAAAAATAATTTTCAAGAGACAATTCTGTTTCACCAGAAATTCCCACAAGACACATCTACTGCTGTTTCCAATTTGGACAGAGTTGAACTTGGGAAAAAAAAAAAGATTGAATAAGCAAACTAACTTGTGTGCTTTGCTGCAAATCATTTTTTTGCCACTGAGCTTCCAAGTCTCTGCATGCGTCACTTGTACCTGAAAGCCCAGTTCCAAGTCACTCTGTCTCAATGACAGTTCTATCCATTGTAGCAATGTATTTGATGAATATATTAAATTAAAGTGAGTGGTTTTAAACAGGAAAGATTGAATTAATTCCCATAGTTCAGGTCTGAAAAATAATACAAGCCTCTGCTAACAATCAGAAGCAGAATTTGAAAATTTTGTATACAATGCTTCTAAGGTGATGTTGTTCCAAAAAAAAGAAAGATTCTGCTTTCACTTTTTTTTTTCTGGAACACAGAATTCAGTCCACTGGAATTAAGGATACCTTTTTCTGGAGGAGAAAGCTAAGCAGCAAAATAGAGTGTTTAAAAATCGTATTCTTGCAATGCAGTATTTCAGGGCCTGCATGTCTGAGTAAGAAGTTCCACTCTGGTGGATATAAATCTGGATGCAGAGATCAAATTAAACGTGGTTTTAGGAAAATATTATCCCTTATTGATTCACTTTAGCTTGTTCCACGTTGGCAGTATCCTCTGTCACTTTTGCTATGTCTAGATCCCCGAAAATCTACATTAAGTTTTGCAACAGTGGCTGGAAATTTCTAGACATTAAGAAACTGATGTCCTTGTAAGGCTGCCAGAGCTGTTGCACCACACATACAACAGCACGAAACTGCATGGCACTATCAGTAATGTTTCAAAGACATCCTTTTGCTTATCCTGTCAATATAGGCCTGGCCTGAAATGCTCTTCCTATTTCAGTCCTAGCCTCACAAAAAAAGCACGTGAATAATGAGTGTCAGCATGATGTCCATTCCAGTCCTACAGGTCTGTCAATGCACCTTACTTTGTCCCTGCAATGCACTGGTGTTGTGAATAAATACACTTATAATCCACTCTTCATTTTGAAAGTCCTTTTAAGTATTATTTTTTCTTGTGAGCTACTAAAGATGGTTCATTGCCTCCATACACTGGTTTAAAAATAGATGTAACATAGGCTGGATAGGACCTGTGGGTGAAATGTCACAGTGCTTATCACTCCCTGCTCAGAATGTATCTTGACACAACTTGTGTCCATTGCCACTTTTCACTGTGCATCTCTAAGAGTCTGGTTCTGTCTTCTCTAAAATCCCTCACCAGGTAGTTAAAAAGCACCAGTGAGACCATTCACCTACTCTTTTCCACAACTGACAACCCAGTTCTCTAAACCTCTTCTTGTGTAATGTGTTCCCATGCCCCACCCATTTAGTGGCTCTCCACTGGTCTCCAGTTTGTCACACTTTTGTACAAGAGGGTCCACAGGTGGACACAGTGGCCTCACAAGTATCAAATTTAGGGGAACAAATCACTTCCCTTAATCCAGTGACTGCATTCTTGTTCCTGCAGTCTCTATGTGATCAATCACATATGAATATCTATGTAATGGTAATACGGCTCATTTGAAAAGTCTAAATGGCTGCCACATTGCTATACAGATACTGTCAGATTTCAGGAATAATGATGACGATGAAAATAACATCAAGGCAAAAAGCCCAATCAATTCACATAAGCCCTCCAGCATTTTGAGAAATAACTGATTGAAAGCTACACCTCTTTTTTAATAAAAACAAGCAAAACCCACTTTTACTGGAACATTCTGGAGAAATGTTTGCCTATTTATAATTATCTTCTATAAAGAAAAGTCTACAATCCCTCTAGGGAACATACTCCACTATTAGCTATCCCTAAAATTTTTCTGATGTTATAATGTAAGTCCATTATTTTTTGTCCTACAGCAGGAGTTAGTTTCCCAAAGTTTAGCCAATGAAGGATTACTTCATGAACAGACCAATAGCTTGAAAAATGTAACATTAAGCTGCAATACACTGCTCAACATAATAGCTGTCATGAAAAAGTTCCTTAACAACTTGCCCTGTAAAGAGGCTACACTTCACTGCACATATCTTACAAACGGTGTTCTCGCTAAAATTTCCAAGAACCTGTGGTGATTTTTGTAGAAGTGTAACACTAATTCATGTTCAGTCTATGACCTAGGTTTTACCTTCTCCTGTCATCCTAACCCTCACAGTGTCTCACATGTAAAGACTCTTTCACATGTAAAAATTTGTGCCTGTTTCTATTTGTTTCCTATCCCAACTTGTTGCAGTGGACTATAAAATCCTAGGGAATCCGCACAGCATATACCACCATTATGCCCGTGATGTCACCTTTGGCTTTTAGGTCTTAGCGCTCTAGGCAGTACTGTAGCTATAAACCAGACAAAAAAACACTAATTAAGCAAGGAATTACAAATTAAAATTTGATCTAAGAGTCACTTGCCAGCACATGAAGTGTACAGTTCTCAAACAGACACATTTATATCTGCCCCTATCTGCCCCAGCTAAGTTTTAGACTACATCAAAACTGAAGTTGCATTTTACAGGAGTACTTAATAAAAGTGAAGAAGTATTTGCAATGAAGGCATTTAAACCAGACAGCTATACAGACATTCTTCTTTATTCTTACTTCTGCTGGCAACCATGAAATTCCCTTCAAGTAACTCATTCAGATTCTGATCATAGGACTGTGACAAGAGGAGCAGTATGTAAAAGAATGATGACAGAACAAACCATAATTCCACACTTCCAGAAGAGTCAAATATTGTGACTGTTTTACAAAGCAGGCTTACCCTGGCTGCTGTTCTTTCGAGGACTGAGTAGAGAAAGGCTTGATCCTGTATCTAAAATTTGACAGAAAGTATGCGGTCTAGATGAAGAAAGCTGAACCTGCTGGACATGACTAGGACTCTGACTGAGCAGCTGAGTTTGAACAATCTTTGTGGATGTATCTGCCTTTGTTGCTGAGAATGTATCTGGCCCATGATTTTCAATAGAGAAATCTATCCAAACCTGTTCAAATTCAAACACAATCTTACAGACATACATACTTTTCACATCAAACACATCAGAAAATTGGTTACATTTCATAGTGGCATCTTGGACTTGGAAAGAAAGAGGGTTTTGGCAAGGGGCAAGACAAAAGAGAATTATTATTTTTCATTTTGAAAGGTTGTACAAGAAGATTAATTACAACATCATGACAGTGATTGAGAAACCCTAGTTTACTTAGTGTTAACAAATACTATTTTGTACAGGAACAATGCATAATTTAAAAAAGACATAGGTTTTTAAGTCTTTGAGGAGATGACTGTTGAGCAATTCAAACTGAAAAAGCCAAATGAAGGTGAGTTACATTGATCATAAAACTGCACTGTACCTCACTGGATGGTAATTCTGTTTCTTCTCCACAGCTGCTTGGAGCTTCTTCTTCCTTTAAGCTAGGGCAGGCAGTAAGAGAAGAGAACCTTGAAGGATGCTGTTGCCTTGTGCACTGCAGCTCCTAATGTGAAATATTACATTAACACAAGTAACTCATGGTCCCTAAAACTAACACCCTTATAGCTCACTTTGCTGTTACACTGCTAGATTTAAAATAATCAGTTATAAATAATATTCAACAAAATTATGTTCTCTTCAGATCAAGGGGGTCAAACTACCTTTATAATAAATATCTACATTTCCTGGTGCTGTTACTATCACCTTGCTTGTTGCTCAAGCTTATATCGTCAGGGTCCTTCTTCACTTTCGTATTCTCCTGTGATTAAATTACAGAAGAAAAACTCCAAAACAATACCTAAAACCCCAACTAAAATAAAGCAGCTATGGAAAAGTATATCATCAGCAGCCAAAATAAACTAATTTACCTCTCCAAGTTTCACCAACTTTCAACTTGTAGCAACTAAAGTGAGATTTGATGAAAAGCAAACTGCTTCAGCCCTGTCAAAGGAGATGCAAATAAACACTGAAGTCTTTAGCTATATATTTAAGACTAAAGAAACACAATGTAAGCCCATTATGTAAAGTAATTGACAGTAAAATTCCTGTAGCTTTGACAGTAATAAATTATCTTGGTTTTTTGTAAGGATGAAGATCTTGGAATGCAGGAGCAAAAGTAGCCTGGCCAGTAAGAGGATCACATAGAATAAAAACACCCAAACTAGCATAATAGTAGTCTTTGGAAAGTCAGCCAGAAGCTCAGCTTTTGTGTAGGAGCTGAAGCCTCAGCAGATATATTCTGAGTAAAGAGCAGCCTGGAATGAGAGTATGGAACAGCTTGGATCTAAGAAGGGCTATCCTTTCTAGTCTAGACAAATGATAAACCCAAAGGTTCCAGAGGTGGAAAGATCCTCAATGACAGCCACTTCAGCCATGACCTCCAAGCAACCCATCAGCTGAAGAGGTTGAACTACTACTCCCAGAGTTTAGCTCACCATCTGGAAACTCACAGTCAAATTCTACCTCTCCAAGTGCCATAGTCATACTGTATTTTAAAAATCTATTTATTCTTACAAAAGCAAGAATCATCTTTAATGATTTTTAACAGAACATGGGAGACATGAGATATGTAGAAAAACACAAACACAATATCTTGCTCATTAAAAATAAAGCAAGAGAAGACTGGGATGGATGGATATGAATATTCATTGGTCTTAATTTGAAAGTCAGCAAAGTTCTAAGGTGAGCTATGAAAGAAAGAATAATTAAAGAGGTGGAAAAGGAAAAAAAAAAGTAGTTTTGAATTTTGGTAATTTTGCCCAGATCTCAAAGTCACTTTTATGTACGTTTGGTATAAGCATTTAGCTAATCTTTTTCAGACCTCAATCCCAGCAGTGCACAGATGAAACATGCAGGTTACAAGAGGTCTCCTCAACTGGTTTGCTGAACCCTAATTTCCTTTGTAAAAATTATTTCCAGTGTTACTGTTTAATAAACAGGTTGCTATTTCTGAAACAGAGAACTGAAAGTTCAAGTGAACAAAGGATGCCAAGCTTGTGACTTTAGGTTAATGAGAGTATCACAAGCATACAGAAAAAAATATATATCCACAAGCATGCTGAGGCATTCCACAAAATAGCAAACAGCCAAAAAGATGATCAGTGAATTGGAACATCTGATATAGAAGAAGAGGTTGGGGCAGCTGGCCTTGCAGGCCTCCAGAAGAGAAAGATTAATCTTTTCAACATGTATAAGCATCTGATGAGGATGTTATAAGGAGATAAAGATGACTGAGTTGGAGTCATCTCACTGGTATACAGTGGAAGACCAAGTGACAACGAGCAAAGAAGTAAGTACAGGACACCTTGCTTAAGTATAAGGGGAAAGAAAACCCCAACCAAATGACAGCCCTCTTTATTGCGAGGGTGTCCAAACCCTGGAACAACTTGCCCAGAGCGGTGACGCTGTTGAGTCAGGGGCGGGAAGAAGATTCCAGTCTTCAGGCGGATCAGAAGGTAAAAAGCGTTTAATCACCCTAGCAGGTCTTTTTATAATGTGACTCGCTAAGGTGATACTTGATTGGTCTTAAAGTAGAAACATCTCACATTATTGGTGCACACTCTGGAGAACTACATTTATAAACAACGGTTACGGAAAGAGAGATAATAATTGTTTTAATTCTTTCTTTTAAAATTCTCAGGCTCAGCCTGGGAGAAATTATCTCTGTTCTTTCTTTGACTGAACTGAGAATATCCAGAGTAGTTCCCAGAGGAAGTGTTTCCCCAGCTAAACTTGGTTAATAATTCTACTGGAGTTTTATACCTCAGAGCAACAACCTCCCCCTTTCTAAAAGAATACTGTTTACTGCCTTCAAAACTACAACAACAATCAACTGCTCTGACTCAATCCCCACAGGAACAAATCTGCTGATCAATTAAGTAAAGTACACAGTGAAATCCTGACTATCGAAGTTACTGGGAGGTCTGCCACTAACTACTAGGGAAGCCAGGATTCATTCATTGGTCTCTCTGATAAAAGCTGCAATTTAACTATTAAAGGTTGCGTTTCAATTACAAAATACATGAGACAGATTAACTATATATCCTGCTTTTTTATATGGAAAAGGTGCTATTACAGTCATTTGGACATGGGTGCTTTAAAATCCCACCACTGTGGGTATTTGTAAATACCCTCACTGATTAATAATTTTAAAGTTTATATTAGAACATAATGCAAATCCTTCAAACAGCCTTTCTTGCTTAGTTAAAACTAAGCCTTATGAAATTTGTAATTCAGGATTGCATTTACACTGCATAAGTACATGTGTTTCTGAAATACCTTGGTTGAAGATCATGTTTAAAAATATTACTTTTGAAGTCCCAAACCCTTTAAACTTATGGGGAACCATCTGGCTTGTGGGCAGTCACTAATGGTGTTTGCCAAGGCTCAATTTTTGGGTCAGTTCTCTCCAGTCTTTGATCAATGACCTGGACACATGAGTTGAGTGTGCACTAGGTTGGCTGATGATACTAAATGAGAAGGACTCATTGATTCCCTTCTGGGTAGAGAGACCTTACAAAGAGATCTTGATAGACTGGAATGCTTGGTAATCACCAACTGCATGAAATTTAATGAGCAACAAAGCTGGATTCTGTACCTGGGACTATAGGCATGGATGTCTGTATACATTTGAGGGACAAGACGCTGAAGTGCAGCCCTGAAGAAATGGGTCTGGGGCTTTTGATTGTTGGCAAGTCTAGCAAGAGTCAACAGTGTATCCTGGTGGCCAGGAGTGCCAGCTGTGTCCTCAGTGTGTTAAACACAGCACAGCTAGCTGGCCAAAAGAAGTGAATGTCCCACTATGCTCGGCACTGACATGGCTTTACCTCAAGTACTGTGTGCATTTTTGGGCTCCACAATATGAGAAGAATATATAAATATTAGAAAAAAGTCCAAAGGAGGGCAACAAAGATGGTGAAAAGATTAGATGGCTAGATTTAAGAGGAGTGGCTGAGGATACTTGGCTTCTTCAGCTTAGAAAAGAGGAGGCTGGCAGATGACCTCACTGCTCTCTATAACTTCCTCCCATGATGGGGAAGAAGAGTAGGAAGTGCTGGTTTTTGATTTTGCTGTCCGGTGATAGGATGTGGAGGAATGGCTTAAATCTGCATCAGGGAAAATTCAGACAATTCAGACAATTCTTCCCTGAGAGGGTGGCCAAGCAGTGGAACAATCTCCCCAGGGTGTGGTCATGGCCCTAAGCCTTTCTGTGTTGAAAAAACATTTGGGACAATGCCTCTAACTTAAATGGTTTAACTTCTGGGTTGTCCTGTGTGACATCAGGATGCAAAGATCCTCATGGGTTCCTTCCAGCTCCAGATATGCAATGATTCTATGGAACCTTCCAAAGATAGATTTGAGCTAAACTCAGTCAGAGTAATTGAAATGCAAAATTTTAGGTTATATTCATGGAATTAGAACTGGCTTAATGGCTTATTATGGCTAAATTTCAAGCAGCATATAATTACCTGTGTTGTGAGTCTGTGCTGTAGATGCTTTAGAACTGATAGCTGACACTGTGTTCTTTTGACAAGTTCTCTTGGAAGAAGACTACCAGAGGCAATACAAACTGTGCAGTGTTTAGAGCTAACAGGATGCCAGACTCCTGTAAAGGAGAAAATATACTGAGGAAGGCATTCTTTCTTGATATTTTGTCAACCATATTGCATTTCTAGCAAGTGTTTACAGCAGATAATAAATGAACCACAGAACACAGGCCTTCTCATTGCAAATGGTTTCAGTGCAATGCAGAAATGTGCCTCGTGCTTTTTTCCCTTTATTTCATTGCCAGAAAGACTATGCATGGAACTTAGATATCCACAGTGAAATCTTTTTACATTATATATACTCTTAATTCAAGTTTACAGTAAACTTATTCTGCTTTTTCTTCCACTTTCCTAAAGTGTTAGTTTTTATTCCGAGAGATACACTACCTCTTTTATGCACATAAACAAAGTCTTAAAGTAAAGTTCCCACACTGACATCTAGGCACCAGGGAGTCATCTAAGATGACTCTAAGAGTCTTCTTCATCTAAGATGTTTATCAGCAAAAGTCACTACATAGACTCTTGTTTGATCTTAGCATCTCCTATCACAGGATAATCTTACTTGCAAGGATTAGTACCACAGTCTCACATGAGCTATGCAGATCAAGAATCAGTCAGGTCCAGCACCTTTTTTTATAATGAAGCCTAGCTTTCCCCAGCTCAAAGGATGAACTGATTCCCTGTCCATTTTATTCTAAATATCTAAGCTAGCACTTTTCTTTAGAATAAATTTACCTTTCTTTAACACCATTCCAAGTTCTGCCCTGAGTCTGTTTCCCATTTCAATCAGCTGCCTCTTTTCTTGGTTCAGAATTGAAATTTTTCTTGCTGCTTCCTTGAGTTTATTTTGCATTCCTCGTAGAGTGTGTTTGACACTATATTGACAACCAACACCAGTACCTACATCAGGTAGCTGTTGTCCAAAAGCAACCATGTTTTCTTCAAGAACTTTGGGTTCTGGCCCCTAAATAAAACAGACAGTGCTTATAATGAATATTTTGAAAGTGAGGTCTGCAGGTTCAGGGATTTGTACAAATACGCATGAGAGGTCAGTTGAAGAAAAAGTGTAAAATTGAAGGCTACAGTCCATTTTTTAGGGCACATTTTCAACATTTTTTAGCAGTACAGGACAAATTAAACTGTGGAGCAAAACACTGTAACAGCCCGAGACATTCCCCCAGATATTGTCAACTGTAAGTGTAAAATAATACACATAGCATAAACACTGTATAACTGTAAACTAAAGAGCACTTAATTTTAAGATAAAATGTGGAAAAAAGCTCTTTATACCAAATAGCAATCTGCTACAAATCCTTCTTTGTTTTAATCATTGTGTATATTGTTTAATGATTTGTACATGCAAACAAAAGGGGTAGATATAACTTAAAACATTTACTGAAAAGGAAAGATTCTACAATCTGTTTTGTCTCTTGCTTCCTGAGTCCACCTGTACATATACATAATGGTAAGGTATATACCCAAAAGATTGCATCCTTGTTTTTCAAGACCTATATACTGTCTTCTTTCAGCCCCCACAGAGGAGACTTTTTGATAGCCATTTAAATAGTCATCATTCACTGAACAGTCATCTCCCTGTAAACATTTTACATTTCACACATTGCCACAAGTATCTAAGTGTATCACATGCATTAAAATTGTTTTACAATTATTCATTGGTATGTTTACACTTTCACATATAAACTAGTTAGAAACATCCTACACTAACTGTTTACAGTGATTACACAATCAGTTTTCAACTAAATCACCCTAAACACTATGATCCAAGGAGTACACATTGAAAGCTATTATCCATACTGAGAAAAAACTAAACCATTGTTGCCTTATTGTGCCATGCAACTCCTATGCTCTTATTTCTTTGGATAGTTTTATTATTAAAAGGAAGGCTCTGGAGAACTTACAGGGAAAGCATGCAGGCCTACAAAGAGTATGGGGGAGAAAGGTAGAGAAATTAGTGCAGGACTAGAGTCTGAAAATACTAAGACACCAAAGTGAAAGGAAAAATGAACAGCACTTTGACACACATCTAGCAGTTTGTATAAAAGCAAGTAACACAAGTAGCTGGGAGTGTGTGTTGATCTGTTGGAAGGTAGGAGGGCTCTGCAAAGAGACCTGGAATGGTTGGAAGGATGGACAGAATCCAATAAAATGACATTTAATAAGTCCAAGTGCCGAGCCCTGCATTTGGCCACAATAACCCCCTGCAGCATTCTAGGCTGGGGACAGTGTGGCTGCACAGTGCCCAGGCAGAAAGGGACCTGGGGGTGCTGACAGCCAGCTGAACATGAGGCAGCAGTGTGCCCTGGTGGCCAAGAAGGCTAATGGCTCCTGGCCTGGATCAGGAATGGTGTGGCCAGCAGGAGCAGGGAGGTCATTCTGCCCCTGTGCTCAGCCCTGGTGAGGGCACACCTCGAGTGCTGTGCCCAGCTCTGGCCCCTCAGTTTGGGAAGGACGTTGAGACACTGGAGCACATCCAGAGGGGGCAACGAGGCTGGAGAGGGGCTGGGAACACAAACCCTGTGAGGAATGACTGGGGGAGCTGGGGGTGCTCACCTGGAGAAAAGGAGACTCAGGGGTGACCTTATCACTCTACAACTCCCTGAAGGGTGGTTGTAGTCTGGTGGGGTTAGGCTCTTTCTCCAGGCAGCAGCTGACAGAACCAGAGGACACAGTCTCAAGCTGTGCCAAAGGAAATATAGGTTGGATATTAGGAAAAAATTTTTTACAGAAGGGGTGATAAAGTTCTGGAATGGCTGCCTGGGGAGGTGGTGAAGTCACCATCCCTGGGTCTGTTTAACAAAACCTGGATGTGGCACTCGGTGCTAGGGTTTAGGTGAGGTGTTAGGGCTGGGTAGGACTCAATGATCTTGAAGGTTTCTTCCAACTCAGTGATTCTGTGTGATTGTGTGTGTGTGAAATTATTACAATCTACCTTCGCTGGTGAAATTGACATTCTAAAGCTTAACATAAAGTGAGGTGAAGGCAATGACCAATCACTGGTTGTCACACTGTGGACCACCTTCACTGGATCAAAAGACAAAAGCACATCACCTGGCTGGGGCAAGGAATGCCATTTGCATAAACTTTTCTTTTTCCTGAACTTTTCAGAAAAACATTCCACAGCATTGCACAGAAGATTCTTTTTTTTTTTTTTTTTCAGGTGACAGACTGTAAGCTGTAGAATTAGGAGTAGAATTAGGAACTCAGAAATCTTTTTACCTTTAGATCTATGTCCAGAGCAAAATTCTGCAGTACACAACAGAGAAAACACTGAAAAGATGGGTACTAAAGAAGAGTAGAGGAAAAACTCTCCTCAGAGCTGATACAAAAGAAAAAGAGAAAAATATATGTACAAGCAAAAGTTTACATTCTATTTTTACTAGTTTCCACAATAAACTTTCCTCTTCTTCTTTAGTGCTGGAGCCAATAATTTCCAGATTATGGTCACAGAAACTCTGTTATTTTAAATGGAAAAAAAGAAAACTATCACTATGGCTTTGCTTACTTACTTCACCTGCACCCTATGTTTAGGCATTCAAAAAAAAAGACTAAAATACGGATTTACAATGGAAAACCTGAATCGGTGATCCACAGTAGTTTAAGCATTTGCAAGTGGGAAAATAACACATCAAGACCAGCTTGCAAGATCAGAAGTGACTTGTGCCAAGGGATGACAAGTCAAAATTTATTGCCTAGAAAGAATAAGAGTAAGTTGGGCTAAAAAAATCTTTGCTGGCTGTCATCTGACCAATCACATAAGCACGTATTACTTCAGTTTATAATATTTACTCAAACAAAAATAATACACTAGGTATTTAATTACACACACACATACATACAGATATTTTTAAGTAGTTTAAACTCAACATACCTCTTCTGTGTCTGGGTTTACTATACAATGCAACTTAGTTGAACTGGCTTTTATGTTGCTCAGTGTGGTTCCAGTTGAAATTTTGTTTGTGCTCAGTGAACCTAAAAGAGGAGTAAAATATGAATGTATATGTATTTCTAGAGAGTTTAGGCTTTCATAGCAAGAGTTGCATCAGAACACTGTCTCATGCATATAAATGTCTAGTTTGTCTAGTTACAGAATCATAAAACCATAGACTTAGGTTGGAAAAGACCTTTAAAGTCATCAAGTTGAAACCAGTGACCTAACACTGCCAAGTCTTCCACTAAACCACGTCTTCAAATGTCCACACACATACACGCCTTTTAAACACCTCCAGGGATGGTGACTCAGCCATTTCCCCGGGCAGCCTGTGCCAATGCTTGAATAGGCCTTTTCAAAAAGAAAATTTTAATATTTAACTATTTAATATTTAATAATTTTTAAGATTTAATTTTTAAAAATATCCAATCTAAACCTCCTCTGGCAAAACTTGATGTTATTTCTGTTGTCCTATTGCTTATTACTAGGAAACAGAGAGTGATCCCTACCTCATGACAACTCCCTTTCAGGTAGTTGTAGATAGTGGTAAGTTCCCCCTGAACCTCCTTTTGTACACCACTTCAGTAGATATACTGTAAATGGACTGTAAACCCCCATGGCAGGGAGTTTGGATTAGGAGATCTTTAAAGATCCCTTCCAATCCAAGCCATTCTGTGATTCTACATACTGACTTCACTATCAGGAATTCTGTAATATACATATAATTGCTTTACTCTTGCAAAATATATACATGATTGCTTTTCTAGTGGTAATTTTGTAGTGACTTATAGTGTGTGCGTGTGTATTTCTTTTCACTAATAACTGTTTTATAGTAATTGGTAATACAGAATCTCAGGCTACTGTGTTCTTGTGTATGGTGCAATCAAATAACAATTTTTACACACTCATGGATTGGGTAGCCTTCATAGGTCATGACCGTGACTGCTAAACTTTCTTAACTGAATTTAAAGTTCTTTGTCAAGAATTTCACCTTGCTCTGCAAGCTGTCTGTCTTCTGTTTGAGGAAGAGAAGATAACATCTGCTCATCAAGACTCTCCATTTCTTTCCTCATTTGTGCAATAGCAGCCCGAAGGCTGGCATTCTGTTCCTGCAGCTTTTTTATTTCCAAAGCAGGGATGATATATTTACACAGAGAACTTTCATCACCATGCTGAAATATCTGGAAAATAAAAGTATAAGACAAAAAGAACCCTTCATTAATAAGTGACACATATTCTCTCCACACCACCACACACAGAGATCCTAATACTGTCAACCCATGAACATATATGGGAGAAAAGTACCATGGGAGGAGAATAAATGTGTTTATTGAGGATTTGCCTGGGAAAGAAGTGCTGTACTGAGAATATCATAGGAGGAGGTGCACATGGGGAGGACCATGGCACCGGAGCTAGCTCTGTTTTATAACTGTTGTTCTGCAGGTGTGGTTTATCTCTCTTCCATGTGCAGGTAAACCTCCCCTTAAGGAACTTATGGGCTCAACAGCAGTCCCTTTTCTGACCTGTCACATTCTTGAAAGCGTCATTGGAGATCATTTGTTGACAATAACATTGTCCTGGTTTAAAAGAGAGATCTTTCCCAAGGAAGATGGGAATGTTCCTGGAATGGAAAGACCACACCCTCCCTCCAAATTATTATGAATTCGAAATTACGGGGCTTTCAGACAAAGACATATTAAAAAGAATAACAGTTCTTTACTAGACTCTCTTCCTCTCTCTCTCTCTCTCTCTCTCTCTCTATATATATATATATATATACACAAAAGGAACAACAGCAAGGGCAAGAAGAAACACCACCAGCAGCCTCGGCCCGCCCACCAAGCAGTCCCCTTTGGTGTAGTTACGACGACAGCCGACAAGGGGCGCTGTAGGCTGCAGCGCCGGCCGCGGCCCCAGCTGCAGAGCGGCACCTCCGCGGCGATGGCAGCGCCGATGAGAGCGAGGGAAGGGCTGACTCCCGCAGGCACCACGGCAGCAGTGATCGGCCTTGGGCATGGCTGACGGCAGCCGGTACACGCTGGAAGGGACGCAGGGCTTCACCGCGATCTCCCACTGCGAAAGAGGGAAGAGGTCCGGCGGACGTGCTGCTGGCACTTCGGGGGCGCTGCAAGCGGCGGTTCCGGAGGCGGCGGGGGGAACGGCTTCCCCGGGCAGCCGCGGGGACTGGGCTGGGCTCTCTCGGCGCCGGCAGCCCGCGATCCCAGCCAATGGAGCCGCCGGGACTCCCTTTCTCTCTTGCAAGCAACGGACTCGGAAGCTGGCGGCAGGCGGAGCTCCACGGCAGTGGAGAAGAACCGCTGCGCAGGAGAGGTCCAAGGCGAAGAGAAACCACACGACCGCCTCTGCTCCCAGCAGGGCAAAGACTGCCCACCCCCACCTAAGAAACTGCCAGAATAACTCTGCCCCCTCCTCCGCTTCTCCCACTCCCCCAGAACCATTACAATGGTATGTCTCTGGATCGCTGTCCATTCACCATCTCCCTGACTACAAATGGGAAGAAAATTCCTGGGGAAAAAATAAAAACCAACCAACCAAAACCAAACCAAACCAAAAACCTAACCCCAGGCAAACATAAAAAAGCTGGATGTCCTCTGCTAAGCCAAAAAAAGGGAAGGAGTGTGTGGACTACACCCACATAACCTGGACAATGGACAATATGTAGAACATAGGACATTGACTGGAAAACACGTTTCCTGGTCACTTGAAATTCCAGCACAATCTTCAGGAAAAAGTACCTATGGGTAGGACTTATGGCATATAAAGACCAGAATATTAGGGTCCCGATATTATTTACTTTTGCTGTTTCTTCATTCTAAGTGTGTCTGCAAAGATTTTTAAATGTTTTTGTTTGGTCAGTGGTAATGTGTTATAACTGTGGTTTCATCCAAACAGAGAATATAGAATTTAGATTCTACCCCTGTAAACTCTTCTTTCACTGACAGAAACATGTGTCATCATCCATTTAAGAAATGCAGATACTCTTTGATACAGGAATATTAGGAAGCCATGCAATAGAGGAATATATATTCCTACAGTCACTAAACAAATCCTAATTCACAAGCTGCTCAGATCAAATGTTTTTCATCAAGGAAAAGACCATGAAATGTCTTTTGAGTATTTGTATAAAAATGTTGCTAAAACAGAATCACAGAATGAACTAGGTTGGAAAAGACCTTTAAGATCATCTAGTCCAACCTATGACCTAACACCTCCTCATCAGCTAAACCATGGCACTGAGTGCCATATCCAGTCTTGTTTTAAACATGTCCGGGGACAGTGACACCATAAACGTTTCTTTATATTTAACTCTAAACTTAAATTCTTGCAAAGCAGCAGTTTTGCCTCTTCAGAGAGCATGGCAATCCATAAGGTGCTTAACACATGTAGTCAAAATACTTCAGACACATCAAAATACTACAGTCTCAACATTTACGCCTCGCACAGCCTCAAACACTACTGTTTCCATCTTCTCCATCACTCCCACTTCCTTCAGTCCTCTTATTTTCCCACTCATAAGTCTGTTCTGCGAGTGTCATCTGAAAGTCTCATCTGAAATGTTAATGGCCTTCAGATTAAATTTCTCTGGCATAAAGACAAACTGCCCTGCAGCTTCTTTCTCCTGTGATTGTTTCTGCCCTAACAGTGCAGGCTACATAGAAGATGTGAATAATCACTATTCTGTTTTTACAGTCTTTCCAAGGCTTTTAAGGTGCGTCAGGGAAAGGCACCAGTAGGTAGCAATGCAACACCCAGATGTGAATTTTGGGGTCCAGGACTTCATCTCAACTTGCAATGTACACGTGAACCATCACAGTTTAAACCAGAAATACAACTGTTCCAGATTTGTGTAAGTGGAAATAGGTCTAGAGAGAAGACCCTAAAAACCCTAATAAACCAGAATGACTTGAAGCACTCATTCCTCTTCTGTGCACTTGTATGATATTATTAGCATGCTCTAGTTAGCATACTCTAAGTCATACTAAAATATAAGTTATAATCAAGATTTTCCAGGCTGGGTTGTTTCACATCTCAGTTACTTATTAAAAGGCCAAGAATGACTACTGCAACACTTCTAGCACACTGCTGGGGTCTCAGACCAATTTGAAGAAAAGGACCTGTGTACTGAAGATAGCGTACTAAGGTATATTTAAATTTTGATCTTTCTTGCATCAGTCATCTGAACCAGAGGCTAGCCAGTGTACTATTCTTTCTTTAAGAGGACTCATTGACACAAATGTCTTGGTGAGTTTTCTTCTGTTTGTTTACACTTCATTTTGTACAGAAAAGGTTCTAGACTAGAATAATAGACTTTTAAATTTTGTTATTTAGTTTTTTAAACACTGGCCCTTCCCATAAAAAGGAAAAAGACCAAAAAGGTTTTGCTGAGATGAGTACTGCTTATCCTACATGCCAAAAGTGCAAAAGCCAGAGTTTTTTAACAACCAAAGAAAAAGAGTGACAATGAAGACAGTCTTGCCATCCACAGTTGAAGAGAGCAGTGAATACAAAGAAGAATATAAGAATATAAAGAAGAAACAGTGCCCACCCCTGATTCTCTTGGTTTCTCAATGATCAATTAGCAAATCAGTCCAGTTTGAAATAAAATTGGAAAAACTACTTGCTCCATAGCAAGTTTTTGCTAGCAGTCTACTTTTATCTACAATAAAAATTGTCTTAAGGAAGTATCTTTCTGAAAACAATATTTTCTGCATTCAGGAACTACTGGGCTTGCTTAGCACTGCTTTTTCTTAGCAAGCTCTGGTAGCGTGCTCTGAAATGGTCCCTGTTGAGCACCTGTAGGCACCCAGGACAGTGCACTGCAGCATACACTTTGCTTTCACTCTTTTACCAAAGGCAGTTTTCTACTCTTAATGCATTATCCTTCAGCATGACTTCAAACCAGCATTACATTTTCAACTCTGAATGGCTTTTTAAAATATAAGCAATTTAAGAGGTAGCAATGAAAGGAAAACTAGCTAGTGACACTCAAATACAAGACATTAAAATATTTTAAACAGCTGGCATATTAGTATTTTGAAACATTGCCTTAAAATTGTAACTTTTCAACTTTAAAATCTACCCTGAACTGCAACTGACACAGAACCTCAGGAATGAGGTTCCAGAAATTAATTCTTCCCATTTGATTGCCATGATGCTACAGTATGTTGTCACATTTTGGAGCAACTGTCTATATCCAGCTTGCTCCTTTTGCTAGTGTGTAATGAATGAGAGCTGCAGTTAAGCCCATGACACCTAATCTATGTGTATTCCAGGACAGATATGCCTGTATTTTGAATGAAACATATGAAATAGATGAACTGCCTACACTAAGTTCAGTGGAAACAAGGCCCATAATATTGTTGTCTTAGAATGAATTTGTCCATGTCTACACTAAGTGTTGTCTAACCTGTTTCTCCCCTTCAGGTGAAATACTGTGATTAAACGATGCTTGTATTGTCTCTCAACAGTCAAAGCAGAAAGAACACTCTTCACTTCATGCAACCGGCAGTCTGTTTTCTGTACATCAGCTTGAGCCTGGGACTGAAGGAATGGAGGGGAGGCAGAGGATGTCAGTAGCTCAAGGATAAAGGGACAGAAGAAAAGGAAAGGTAAGGAAGGGAAAGGGAAAGGAAAAGGGAAATTAAAAGAAAAAGAAGGAAATCAAGGATACTTTAAAACATAGCACAGGGACTTAAGCACATTCCTTTTGTCTCTGTCAAAAACTGCCCTAACAGACAAATAATTTATCATAATTTTCTTATCTTCTTCATGTAAAATGGAAAACGATGATTTATCTCTCTAATATGTTCACATACTACAGCTATTGATGCCTATGAATAATTTTGGAAGGACAATGATAAAATAAAACCCTAGAGTAAATGCCAGCATTCTGAACTTCAGAAACAAATGTTTCCTCTGGACCTGTGAGTTCAGCACAACTGGGTGTTGAGAATTGTTAGATCATTGTCTAATAGTCTCTAAACAATAAGCATGTATTTCATTTTTCAGAAGCTGAAGTTTTTACACTACACAAAATAGGGGTTTTTTCTACACAAAAATACCACCCAAGAGCTCTTCAGGACTAATATTGTCCTCTTGATAGAATTCAAGTAGTACTGTGATCTGAAATTCTTTCTGCCCTCGAGCTGGTCTAAGAGACATCTTTCTTCTTTTGCTACAATGGCAAAGGAAAAACATCTCTCAAGCCAACTTGATTACATGGAAAGGGAGAAAAGGCCACTATTAGAGATTGCTCATGAAAATTAATCTGATCTCTGATAAAATACATGTGATGAATTGCTGTACACAATATATAAATACTGTTTTACAGACTTTTGAAAGAAAGCTAAAGACATATTTCCCTGTGAAACATCATGGTGAGAAGATTCCATAGCTCTCTATGCAATAGATGATTCTTAAACAGTGTTAATTTTAAATTCTCACCTCCTCTCTTGATGAAGATAGGCTGTGTATTGGATCCTCTGATTTGTGATACCAATTGCATTCAGCATTCTCACAGAGCTGCTGCCAGTTAAGTTCTGCTTGCATTTTACTTTGTTTCAGAATTGTTCTTGCTCAGCTGCCAGAGACAGTTGTTGTTTAGACCTATGAGACACAGAGCAAAACTGTTGATTTCAGCAGAATAAATACTAAGGATGTTTTGTGGATATTTTTTGTTTGTTTGTTTTGATCTGGTTTTGTTTAGTTTAATCCACCTTTGTTTATTGTCCTCATCTTCTTTCCTTGTTCTATTTTATCTATCTATATTATCTATAATAATCTAATATATAATTAATCCAATCTATATTATCTCTATATATATCTATATATCTATATATCTGTATCTATATATCTCTATATCTATATATATATATATCTACAATTAATCTAATCTATATTATCTAAATATATAATTTTTAAATTATCTGTTTTATTTTGTTCTATTCTAGTCTCAACATTTTACTGAACAAAAGCATTTTAATTGCATGGAACTCAATAGTCTCTGAGGGTCCATCTGTATGGGTATTTACAATCAGCTTTGGAGGTCACCTCAGCTCAAGAGGCATAAACTGCCCTTCAATATCAATACCACTCTCACTACTTCCACCCAGAGCATGTTTCTGTTTTGCCGATATCAGAAGTGAGATACAAAAGAGCTAGGAATTAATTGTCAGGGTAAAATTTCTAGGCTAAAAGGCTGCTGCATTTACATACCTTGAAAACACAGTGTAGAAAGAGGTAGAAGGTGCAAGTATTAGAAACAGTATTAGAAATATCTAATCAAGAATTCAAGTCAGAAAATTGCAAAGATCAGAGGTTTCTTCTGAAGTGCCATCAGTTTAAACTGCATGACAGAGTAAGCAACATTTACATTTAATAAGTATACATGCAGTTGTGGTTGTTTTGTTCTTGCTGAGTGAACAGCAGTTGGTTATGCAATCTTTATAGTCAAGACTGCAATAGGACAAAGTGGTTTTGAATCCATTATTACAGCAGTGTCCTTTAAAGAACACCCAAGACAAGTAAACCAAACCAAAAGCTAAACTCCAATCGTGCAACATTCAAGATGCAGGAATGCATGGAGACCACAACAGGCCAGGCAACATTTTGCTACCCTAAAGGTAAAGTATATAGGCAGAAATAATTAATTTTGTTACACAAAAACCAACACAGCTGGAAAATATAGCAAACTCCTATAAGCCCTCTTCCTGAAAGCTTGTCTGTTTTTCTCAATGGTATCAAGTGAGGGTTTTTTCCCCTCTACCTATATAACTCAATTTGTCAAATTATTAAGGTATCAATTACAACACCACTGAAGCAAGTGGACATGGACATCAGAGAACAATCCAAGTAATGCTGGATGATAATTAGTGAGCACTGCATATACAGAGATTTTTGAAGGGTGAATTCCTCATTACCAGCCTTGGAAGGATGACAGAGCTCTTTCAAATACCTATACACAGTTCTTGGTTGCATAGGAAAAAAACCAGTCACTAGGAATGTGTACCACAAATACCCATGCTTCCTGCTATCCTAGTTCATTACATAGGTGGAAGAAAGCAGCAAAAACAACAGTCATCTTTTCACGTGTTTCACACAGGAATGACTTTAGATTATAATACAGTCATTCATTCTGTGAGTAATGGGTAACAGCTTAAAATAAGTTAACTTCATGGGACAGAACTAAGTTAACCCTTTTCAGCTGTCTGCTTGTGAAAATCACATTCTTTTTTAATTCCCACATCAAATTCAGCAAGCACTACCTACAAAGGGAGTAACATATAGCTAACACTAGAACAATGGTACTGATGGCAACACTGGATTGTCTCAGACCTTTCAAACACTGTATGAGGAGTTTAATCATCACATCAACTTTCTCCATTCTAATAAGAATCAGACGGTGCTGAATGAAACCTATAAACTGGTCTATGGTAGGTCCCCTAACAGGACTTGTACAGCAAAGGGGAACTTAAGTAAACAAATCAGCCAAACAATATCTTTTGCAAAAGAAGATCAGATTTCATAATCACATAACCACTGGGGAGAGAGGAGAGAAAAAACCACTTGTTTTACAAAAGCCCCCATCTTATAGACATTAAAGTTCAATTCCTTTACAGCCATCCAAGCACCTGTAATATGTCAAATACTATGCATAACAGAAATAACTGAACTTCCTTTTTGACTTCTAGAGGAGCAGAAAGGTGCTATATGTCCCCAGTGCTGAAAGTTATGGGTATTTTTTATTTCTATTTTTTTTAAACTTTTTTGAATATAAAAGAAATAACCCTAACAGAAGTTAAATATATATTCTAAGCACATGAATAAATGGAAATTGATTATAGTGTAAAATCTACTGTAAGCTGCAAGGACATCCATCTTCTTATGTGCACATGCATATACATATGGATCTGTTGGTGACAAAAAATTTAACTGTTTCCCTCTGGTTTTGCAGAATGACAATAGAAACAGCATAAGAAGTAGTCTATGTGAAATCACATAAAAAAACCTTAAAGGTACATAATTCACTAGTCTAAGCTTTTGTTTACGTCAAGCAAAACAATTCAGTATTATTAGAAGGGAAAATTTTGGCTGCAGTCAAGAGGCCTTTAAAGTGTATACTTGCAGAACTACTGAAGAGTTAAGAAACTACAGCCTTACTGAAAAGTTGCTAGGAAAATACTACCATGTTTTGCTCTCTGAAGATGAAGTGACAAGAGGGCTGATGGGAGATGCTATGGAACTTCTTCCCTCCCTCCTTCCCCACACTGCTCCCCTTATAGCAACTGAATTTTAATTTAAAGGAAAAGAACAAAACCATTCATATTGTTTGTCATTCTGGGGGGGTGGGGGGGGGGAATCACCTGTTATTAGAAGACTTCACATTTCAAACCCAAGTAAGAACAGTACTACAGAATGTACATTTACTGTGAAATTCTCCCAAAGTAACACTGCAAGTTACTCCAAACCATGAAAATTAAAGACAACAGTAAAGATATCACTGAACAAATGTGAAATTCTTGCCTCACAACACCTATGTTTTGTAAGTGCATGAAAAACTGTTCATAAAGAAGCCATGGATTTTCCAGAAAACTGAACAATTGCAGTGAGCTGCCATCCAGTGGCTAAACTGATAAAGCATTTTAAAAAGTGTTTGAGAGAAACTACTTCGATGAATTAAATTGATAAAATACAACTGAAAACAAGAGAATGAGATCACAAGGGATTTTGTCTATTTGATACAAAATCATGTTAGATTAGGGGGAATAACTGCAGGAGATCTAGTGGCAAGCATGGAAGATGTGCTTCTTCAGTTGTAAGCATAAACAATGGAGATAACTTTTTTCTTCTCCAGTGTGGTAAGAGAAATCATGTGTGTTACATGCTGTAGCCTTAGGCTTGTGGACAGCAGCTAACCAGCTTTTATCATTACAGCTCAACCACAGAATGCACCATAACTTCCACGCCAGTTATCAAATATTCTTCCTGTTCTCACACTTCTTCAGGCAGGTTCATAAACTGTCTTTGGGAAGCCCATGAGAAAGAGAGTGCTGGATCAGATTCATTATTTTAGCAGGAATACTATAGAGAGGGCAGCAAGACTTGGATTGGCAGGTGTTGGGTGGAAGACACAATTGCTTAACAATACCACTTCCATTTATGTTATATATTGGTTTGGTTGACAGGACAAAAATTAAGTGCTCTAGTTCTAACGACTAAGAACATTCATATGTAAATTAGTAAAAGGAATTCCAATATCAAATACATTTTTATACAAAGAAGGAAAGTTTTCTTTAAAGTTTGTTGTATAGAAAGAGGTGATATAGTGCCTCCCTAGGGTATCACAGTTGAAGATAAAATTTCATCGTTAGTAAGGTGATCCTTTTGTGGTAAAATATAGGAATATTAGAAGCAGAAGGGGGGGGAAAAAAGCACCTTGTAATTAGGAGTATGATAAACAGTGTACATTTATTCATCTTGCCTAAGGCTACCTCTGTTTTCTAGATGCTGACCTTTCCTGTAGTTTCAAGGTTAACGAATTTAGCAGTGTGCTTGCTACATAAAATAATCTTACGCAATCTCACATTACTAAACGTATTCTTAGCAATTCCTTACAAGGGGTAGCTGTCAAACAAGCAAAGCAACAGCTACTACACAAGAAAGGCATAGTTTTCTAAATTGTAATTACAAATGTAATCAAGTTTTAGAGAAATAAAACAATAGACCAAAAAAAAGAGAGAAGGCTTATACAACAACTATAGAAATGTTAAACCAGAACATGCTGATTAAAAAAAATAAAACTGAAAAAATGATTGCTAGATGACACTGCAGCAACACAACATTGCTTGTCCAACATTCTTACACCAATTTCTGTCATCAGCGTCTTCCAGTTCTTGAAACTTTTGCTCCATGTGAAGTTTCAGGTTCACATAATCCTCATGCAGATGACCTATGTGACTATTCTTAGAGCTAACAAAAATAAATTTACATTAAAAAGCATGAGTGATCCCCATATAATTTTTTTAACAATAACACGTAACTATTAATACAGAATGCTGTAATTTCCTAAAGAAACAGGCACCATAACATCTTTTCCCCATGAGTTAGTGGAAATCAATTATAAGAGTATATGTTATTTCCCAAAACAATCCTTCAAAAGGTTAGTTGCATACAGAATATAGAGGATCTTCTGCAAAGTAGTGCAAGACCTCCACTTAAGTATAACTGAGTTTCTTCTCCACTCAAAATTTTCTGTTATATAAGAAAAAAAATTGCAAAACAAAGGCTGACCAGCAGAAATCTGATCTTTGAGATACATTTGAAAACAGCAGTAGCTCTGTATCTTTTCCCCTCCTCTCCCAATATTTTTAATTGCTATCAACAAAAAAGTTTCTCTGCGATCCAGTATCAGCTCCTCAGGATTTCAAACAAATCTGAGCAGCTGATACTGCTACCAAGACCAGTAAGTTCTCTAATGATACACTGAAACTTTAAAGCTCTGCATTAATCCCTTAGACTTAACAGGTTTGCAGCAGCCTGTCACACAGCCTTTATTGCTACTGTACTGTTCTGCAACCTTCTATTTACTTTCAGCTGTATATTACAGGGTTTTTAGGTAGCTGAATGACCGTTGCAATTGATTAGATAAGACTGGTCATATAATACCTGCAGAGTCCAAACTCTGAACTAAAACTGGAGAGTAACAATCACCTAAATGCATATTCACTTTCACATTCTGCTTTTAAATTTAAACCTCAGCCCAGGTAATCTGGATCCCACAGCCAGCACGCATGCACACCAACCAAGTCTATCCGAAGTGCCGTCTCAGGGTAGTCTAGACAGACATTTTTGTACCTCCCTTGTTCATCCCCAAACCCTTAAGGGCAAGGCAGATCAGAAGAATGACTGTTGTACTGTGATCAGTATCCAGCTCAGTCCGGCAAAGAGGCAACTGCTGAGACTCAAATTTCTCCTTCAAATCCCAATGGATATGCTCCATGTAAAACTCCTAAACTAGCTTTAAATGAATTTGCATATACACCCCATTAACATCAATCATTTAGTAATCTTTGATGAATTCCAGAGTCTTGACCAGATCACCCACAATAACAAAAAAAAAATTATTTAAAACTTACCCAGCCATCTCTACATTATAAATGTAGCTGGATCCAGCACAGTTTACAGCATTTTACAACAATTACCATTTTAAGCAGAGAATAATTGCAAAGAGACTGTTATTTCTGAAGACAGTAATTACATTAAACAATAATTATGTGCAGACGGAACAAGAAATAAGTATTTATTCCCTCCACCCTGCAAGCTGCACACATATTTCTCTTTTCTTTGAGATATGTATGATGAGTCAAGGCACAGTTCAGCCCTCTCTTTTATTAACAATATTAACTGCTGTGTCCCATTTGTCTGCTTTTAGTTTAAAAGGAAATAACCAACAGAAAGAGCCTGTGCTTTTACATGCAAAACTTGCTTCATATCCACCTCTTCCTGTTGTTTATTCTCCATATTTGCTTCTTATCTGATTATAAATTCTGTAGAAGAAAAAACCCCAACTTTGTTTTTAAGCAGTATGGATGCTTAAAAAAAAAAAAAAAAAAAAAAAGTTATTTCTGTTCAGCTCTCTCCAGAGATTTGGGAAAATCTCTGGAGTCAATATAGCTTCTCTCACTGTACAGTATTATTCTGTGTCACTAGTTGCAGATAATCCCTTCTGAATAAGCACAGGGATGTAGAGAACAAATCGGACAAGCATGCCTTTCAAATAGTGCCCCTTTAATCTCTTTAAATGAGAGATTTTCAGACCAGAAAATGCTATGCAATACCTCTATGCTAAAGGATGTCATAATTTAAATAACATTTTTCTTCACAAACAATCTAGACTACTTCAGTTCCCTAGGATCGAAAAATGAGTCACTGATCATTGGATGCGGGAAGTATAAAAAAATTCAAGTTTGCTCTTCCCAGGTATACTGAGGAACAAACCGTGCTAAAGGACACAATGATCTGATGGTCTTTCAATTCTGCTGGCTTATCCCTATTCATCCCCTTTAATTTTAAGTTAATTAAAATAGTGTTTTCATATTCTGATTCTTGTTGGCAATGTTCAAATCATGTGACCGTGCACAGATAGTGTAAGTAATATCTTCTTCATTTGCATAAGGAGAAGTAACTTTTTAAAAGAACTGACTATTTTAAAAAGTGACCATTCAAAAGAAGTGCCTTTAAAAAAAAAGTCACTATTATGGCTATCCATGAACAGTACTGCCTCCCTGCCTGTAACATGCAATACTCAAAGATCTGCTCTTTCAGTATCACACTTTCAGCTACAGTTGTTCCAAATGGATCGGGTGGCTACCCGTGGTTAAAAAGATTAACTAACTTTGAAGTGCACAGAAGGAGGAAAGACAGTCGAGTGTCAGCAAAGACAACACTGCCAAGGGCAGGGCCGGCTGGCAGGAAGCGGAGCCCACCAGGCAGGATTCCGTGGCAGGAGAGCAGACGGCAGGCAGACTGAAGAGGTCAAACCCGTTAGATGTAGGCAGTAGAGAGGAGCACAAGACAACGCTCTGGACTCAGGGACAGCACAAGAGAGGGCCCTTAGCAGGAAGGGTGCAGAAGGACGGAAAAAAGAGAAGAGAGAAAAGGGCTCGAGATGCGCAGGCGACGCAGCGGGAGCTCCGAAGGACAACCTGCGGCGCAGCGGGATGCCCGCGCTGCCTTCCGATGGAAAAGCGCAGTCGCGATTCGCCTCCGGGCTCGGCACGGCTCCGCTCCCGGCCGCAGCCGCCCTCGGGCCGTGCCGGGCCGTGCCGGGCCGTTCCCGTCTCCATGGCGCCGCCTCGCTCCCGCCCTCGCTCGCGGGGGCAGCGCCCGTCCCCGCCCGTCCCCCTCGTGTTTCTCAGTTCCTCGCCTTGCAGGCACTTGCAGGAAGCCGGCAGCGTATTCTCTCCTCCTCGCCTTCTCGCCGTTCCGTGCTCAGTGCTCTCACACAGCAGCCTCTTCTCTGCTCCTTGGCAGACCCCCTTCTCCCAAAACACAGACAGTACTTGTCCCATACTCTCAGATCTCACTCTCTCGTTCACTTGTCTTCCTATACATTTTGTTTATGCAAGTGTTTATTATTAATTTCTCCTCAGCGCAGATCAAGAAGGAGACTCTTTGCCCCTTTCAAGTACAGCTGTTAACGGATGTAAACAAACTTTGAGAGTCCTCTCTGAACTCCCTCTGCATCGTGAAAAACTTTTAAAAGCTTGTAAAACAAACTCAGGCCAACTGCAACATGAGGTCATGCAGAACAGATAAACACATTCTGGTTCCAAGACACTTAATTATTAAAAACTGTATCCATCAACTAAACTGCTTTACGCTGTCTAGGTCAGACGGAGGAAGATGTAACACATGCAGCAGCCCTAAAGCATGATTTTCCCTTAGTCACTCTAGATGACTTGCTTGTCTGGAAGTCATGAGGCAAACTTCCTGTAATGTTCTGTCACTCTTCTGTTTTTCCAGATCATATAATGAGCTTTTGCCTTACAGAAACTCGAATGCTGCACCCAAATGACATCTCAAGTACGTTAATTTAGAGAAGATAGAGCGTTATCAGTAGTTCTTATATAATTTTCCTTATGTCATCAGAAGAGAATTGTGTGTCCTAGCCCCATGCCAGTTAAAGAAAGAACGGGTTTGTTTTAATTAGTAACTATTAATGAAAATTACAATCAGAACTAGCAATTTGACTTTTGAAATAAAGCAAGTTCCATTTAGCGAATTATAGTTACAGAATACTGCAATTATTAAAGGGATTTAATACTTATATGAATCACCTCTGGTTTAAAATAGAACGGTGAAACCTGGCTTAAAATGATTTTCTATGTCTGAACACACAAAAATTATAGTGCAAGTCCCGGCATAATTTATATTGTGCAGTGGGCCCCTCAGAGCACTCATCAGAATCAGCACATAATAGGCGAATGTCTAAATCCATACACCATTCTGACTGCTGGCATTCTTTACACCTTTACATTAGCCATGGCCTAACCTATCAACCACATTACCTTTTCAACCCTTCCTCACCCCTGCCCTCACTTTCAAATTAGCTGTCATCTTCTCCAATGTACCTTCAATCAGCCCCTAGTCAGGTGGTTAAATGCATGTTCGTTCTCTAAATGAGTAATTGATCACTTCTAGTGATTCAGTAGTGTCCCAAAGAGACAAACTAATGGTGAGTAAAAAAGATTACAGTCTACACGTCAGTTCGGGGATTGATGCTGAAATCTGAATACACCTAATCCGCAAGTGAATGCCCTAAATTCAGATAATAGTGGACAGCCAAAAACTGGTTTTCCTAGTCTTTAAGATTAGCAGTGTCGGTCTTATTGGCTGCATGTTATCTACTCAAAATAAACTGCATGGCCTTGCTCATCTTCACACATCTTCACACATCACATGATGCAATGAATCATCCTTAAGCATGTGCAAACTATACTTCAGCAAAACTGAACCAATAGCCAATGCAAACATAATGTACAAGGAAAAGAAAAAACTTCTAAGTCATTAAAAGAGCTTCAGTTCCTGCCTTGGCATTACGTGATTTCAGCAAGTAGGTTTTAAATTGGAAGCTACTAATCTGTGCAATATCATCATAGTTTTCAAAAGGCAATATTTTATCCTACCTGTCCTCTCCTACTTAGAATCCTACCCCTGTGTCACTCCACACAGATAGGAATCACAGAATCATTTAGAAAATATTTTTTTTTCCAAAATCATTGAGTCCAGTTGTTAACATCCAGGGATGGTGACTCCATCACTTCCCTGGACTTGCCATTTCAATGGCTGGCAACCTGTTTGGAGAAGAGATTTTTCCTAATATCCAATCTAAAGCTCCTCTGGCACAACTTGAGGCCATTTCCTCTTGTTCTATCATTTGTTACCCTGGACAAGAGACAGATGCCCACCTTGGTACAATCTCCTTTCAGGCAGTTGTAGAGAGTGATAAGGTCCTCTGAGCCTCCTTTTCTGCAGGCTGAGTCTCTCCAGCTCCCTCAGCTACTGTCCATCACACTTGTGCTCTAGACCCTTCCCTAGCTCCGTGCCCTTCTCTGGCCATGTTCTAGCCCCTCAATGTTTTTCTTGTCGTGAGGAGCTGAAAACCAAACACAGGATTTAAGGTGTGGTGTCACTCCCCTGTATATTAGATTGTGTGCTAGAAGCACACAAAATGGAGCACCTACTCCTGAATTTCCTAAGCGTCAGCTAGACAGGAGTGCTACTTTCTGTAGTGCATTTAAGAATCCCACCACAACTTTCATAGATGCTACATAGTAATATCAGCACATCAGTTTTATAATCCAACGTTTGTATGAATCCCAGTTGAGTCACAAGAGATTAATGGAGAAAGCTCATTCCATCCGGATGTAAAAGGAGAAGTATGCTATGAAATCATATTTGCAGGGAGTAGTATAATATTTACTCCCTTGGTAAAGGATGAGGAGGGAAGCCTGAGGGTTATCTACAACTCTATTGTGCATTCTGTCTACAGAATGCACAATATCACATTCAAATTTCTAAGGAAACAACTAAGCAAGGAAGCTCGTAAGAGTAATTCACATGGGAGGAGACAATGACGAAACTGTGATCGCTCCCGGGAAAACAGAAACGGCAGCACAGAACAAACCTCAGCCGCAGAAACCCATTCATAAGTTGGAGTCCACTGCTCAGGTCCTGTTCCTCCGGACAGCCAGTAGAGCATCCATGCCGGCAGGATCCAGCCCTGCATTGCACTCTACGCAAGCAGCGCAAAGCTCATGCCGATGTCTTGTGAGGCCTTGGGGCTGCACGCTGCACGGCCCTGCGCCCGAGAGCCTGTAGCGTAGGGAGGGAGGGAGCCTGAGCGGCGGCGGCGGCGGTAGGACCCGGGGCGCTCCGTGTGCCGGGGCGGGGCGAGCAGCGGCGGAGCCGCCGCGCGGGAGCGCTCCCCGGCCGGCGGGACCAGACGGGCTGTGGCGGCTCTGTGGGCGCACGGGGACAGCGGGCTGCGGCCAGCACGGGCATCCTCAGCCGAGACGCGGGACGTGACTCAGGTACCGAGGCGGAGCCGTCGTGCGTGATGTGCGGAGTCCTTGCCTTGCACGCGGACGAACGGCGTGGGGAGCGCGGTGTGGGGGGTCCGGAGCCGGGTGAGCCGAATCCAGAGCGCCGGGCTGACCGAGGATGCTGCTCTGCGTGGGGCTCTCCGGGCCAGCGGATGAGCCCGAGCGCCGCCCAAGCTTTGGGCAAAGCGCAGCGTAGGAGTCGCGGGTTCATCCCTTGCCCAGAGGCTGCGCTGGGCACCGGTGGGGACGTGGGCACGGCGCCGACTGTTCTCGCACCCCTTGGCACCACCCCACGAGGGTTGGCGGGCGCCGTCCCGCCGGCTGCCTTTCTCCTCGCTCATGGGGCCACGCGGGCGCACCTCTTCGTCGGGAAGCCCTCGTTGCCTCTGGGTCGCCCAACGACCTCAGCGCCCCCGGCCCGAAAGCGCTGTCCGGGCGCTGAGCGGTGCTGGCCACCGAGCCCCACTCCGCCTGCTACGAGAGAGCGCTGCCCCCGGCATCCCCTGTGGCAGCCGGGTCACGCCTAGGCGCGCAGTGCCACCCGCCCGAGGGCACGCACGGTGCCACGCCGCTGGCTCGTGGGACACCCGCGTGCTCGGGCTTTGTTTCCGCCATTCGTGGCTCACACCGTTACCGGCGGACGAGGGTCCCTTCGCTGCTGCTCACCTCCTGTTTCAGTGTTTAGCTCCCGGAGGTGAATTTCGGAATTTTTTGTCTTAGCGGTGACGGTTCAGGTCCGTCAGAGCGAGCGACGAGAGTCTGAGGGACTGTTCCCTCATAAAGACATGGTCGCAGACCCGGGCAGGATCCCCGGCACTCGGTTTAGCAAGCACACGAAGAGCGCTGGGGCGGCGGGGCTGCCTCTCCCCGGGCTGCGTGAGCATCGGCTGCGGCGGCGGCTCCTCGGGGCCGTCTGGGCTGAGCGCTGCGCGGGCTACGTGCCCGCGCCGGAGCGCCCCGCGAGCCGTCGTGGCCGTGGCTACGCCGCGACCGCCACCATTGTGTTCCCCAGCCCTGTCCCCCCAGAGCCCCTCCCGCGCGGCCGCCGCAGCCCCTCTCCATCTCTCGGGAAAGAGCCTTTTTTGGATGCTGCTCGCAATCCGCCTGGAGGGGTCTACGGCTTGCCTTCTAAGAAATTCTGTGGAGAGAAGAAAAAGCACAAAAAGGTGGAGTTGAATTTCAGTAATTCAGCTTCCTCACAGGCGCAGACCGTTAACACTGGTGGAAATGCACTCCACTTGGGCAAACCGTTCAATTTAGGATGCCACAAAGTAAAGTCATGTACGGTTTTGCAGTGTTTATTTCAGAGGAAGCAGTGTGGCAGCCGTTTTAAAATGTAAATCAGGATCTATTAGTACAGTGCACCTTTTGTGGTTCAGTCAGAAGTATAACTCAAGATATATTATAGAAATAAAAACATTCTAATTTTTAAAATTGTGACTGAAGTGGCAATTCACATATCTCAATGTGTGACACCCTATCATGCAGCTGCACTGTCCAGAGTGGTTGTGTAAAATGACACCTCTGAGCCAGATGATAATTTCTCACTATATTCAGCTACATGTGCTCACCTA